CATGCGATTAAGAAGTAGTGTACTCCCGGGCTGAAGGATACATGATTTATACTTCTTAAAAGGCATTAGTTAACAAGTGAATGGTATAGTGCAGTGGTAGGTTCAGATGCATGCCTTCCTGGGTACCACCCAGGTTCAAATTCGGTGGCTTCATTTTTTTTATATTTTAGAGACACACATAAACTCTCAAAATTGATGACATGGAATTGATGGCATGATGTGGATAAGCTGATGTGGCGCCGTACAATGATAATGAGGTGACATGGCAAAAAATACCCTTATTTGGGAAATAAGTTTAGAAGTAACCTAGTTTGGTAAATAAGATTGAAAAACACCCCTCCATGGGAAAAAACTCTAAATTAGTGAGGTGAACGTGTCATATTGATCGTGAGATCAGCTGCGGGCGCAAGATTTTCCGGTAGGAGGGGCGACAATATAAAAAATACTTACCAATACATATACTCCTTCCGGTTCCAAAAGATCTTGACACTTTGATTTCACAGTTTTTAAGGAAATAAACACTGTTTGGCACTGTTTGACACTGTTTGGCACTGTTTTGTGTAGATTTATTTGCCAAATAAGGCAAATAAGGAAGTGTAAAGATCTTTGTGGTACTGCTAAAAATGGAAAGTGTAAAGATCTTTCAGAATCGAAGGGAGTATATTAAAAATTTCGGGATAAATATACCTAGGAATTTTTTTTGGAGGGGCGGCAGCCCCTAATTGCCCCCCTTTGGGTCCGCTGCTGCGTGAGATTATGTTTTTGGATTAAAATAAAATGAAAATTTCTTAAATCAGAATAAAATATAACATATTTTAATTTTTCAAATATGACCAGCTATTTTTTTCAAAATAAATTAACTTATTTTACTCTTTTGAAAGTTAAACACACCAATTTTATTTATAAATTATGTCTATATATGTTTAGCTCTTGTTACTTATTCAGTTATATATTTGCACCCAAATAAATACAGATTGACTTTGTTTATTGTTTGTCTGGCAGCTGTGTAGCAATATAATACAACATTGTCACCTTTTGTGCGTCATTTTCCAATCAATAATAACTTTTTTAATTTTTCCCAATTTAATTAACATACATCGAAGCTAGCTAGTCAAAACTTCAATACACTATTATACGAAGAGAATAAAATTAGGTAGAGTGTATGCTGTATGCAGCTACTCCGTACATAGTGTGGAATGAATATAATGAATATATATTTTTAGTACATTGGATCACGATTCCACGAACATTTGTTGAATACTTGAATAGTCCGTATAATTTAATGGTAGAGATCTTAGTATTATACAATTGTTAAGGTTTATTCTTTCAACTCAAAAGCCTAACACATTTTCATTTGGAGTGAAAAGTTTAATGGATTTACGATGCAAACAAGTAAGATGGCGATATCTTATTATATGATAATAAGGGCCCGTATACACACACTTCAACTACTAGTCGAGAGGTCGTTCGTCTATCTCAATGCTAAGAGATAAGATAATTGCTATTTGCTAGGGAGAATAAGTTGTCAACATTTACAATGAAGTAAATGCTACTATCTATACTATCCAGGAGTAGATAGTATTGCTGACCGTGGAGGACTGTGGATGACTAGTTTCCCAACCACCAAATCTACTGCATTAAATGTGTCTCCCGCCAATATCTTGGTTTCCCACCAAGGTTGCGGACGAGCGTCCCTGGGTCTTGGGCCCTGGATCCTGATGAGTGCAAGGGGCGGGATCCGTACGGCCTATGCAAGTTGCCTGGTTGTATATCCTGGAGTGTTATATGTTCCTTGTTTGGACAAGGTCATTGAGGCCGAGCATCCTGAGGTAAGGGGTAATGGTCGGCCCACGGTCAGGCCCTGGTGATTTGGGGTAATCTGGATGGACCACGTCGATTGGGCCCTGGTGCTTTGTCTGCTAAGGGGTCATGGGTCAGCCCACGGTCGGGCCCATTAACCCAACAACAATAATATGTACGTTCGTGTATAATACGATACAATTATATAAAATACGACTAAATATATGTTTCATACGTTCGTGAAATGAATAAAGATACGTGCGTGTTTTAAACGTTTCACAATTAAAAAATACGGCATATAATACATGTCTTACGGAGTATATACTAATTTAATGATGCAAATAAAGAGCAATTTAACATATGCACCACATTCTTCAACAGTTTAAAATGTACGGAATAGTTTTTTAAGATGCACGAAGTTGAATTCATAGGTATAATAAATAATAAAAATGATATTGCCTATTCGTGTAGAAGTAGAGAGATATTTCTATAAAATAGTTTATATTATTGTGGCCGTAAATTTGGTGAACCGCCGTAATATTCTTTTCTCTTTGGAGTCTTGGTATGGATGGAGAACAATACTAACACAATAGCAGTAGAATAGTAATATCGAAACGAATTATGACTTTAAGGAGCTAATTTAATAAATCTGATTACTATTAAACAATTAACGAGCGTATAAGATATAATAATTTTGTAAGCAATATAAATAGTATTGGGCAGCTAGACATTTCGTTTCAGTTGTACCACTTCATTAGGCTTCAGCTTAATTGTGTTTTTCCATAAAATACGTACCAATATGTACGGTACGTGTATTATACATTTTATCCTTAAAGTGCGTGAATTTTTCAGAATTTACTAAAAATTCATAAAGGGAGTATTATACGTGAATTATACGTTTGAGTGCATTATACATGAATTATACGCGAATAAATTAACAACACAATTGAGTACTGGCAAAATAAATAGATATTTGCCTATTTGAAGCTCCTTATTCAAAAATTTGGCAGTTTGGATTTTGGTTCCCAAAGCTTTAAAGTTTGTCATTTTTATCATATTAATACAAATACTCCGTATTATTTAAGTACGAAGCATAATCCGATAATTTTTTATTATAAGTACTAGATTTTAACACTCGTATTGCGCGATTAAGAAAGCATTTTTGTTGGAAAATGTGTGTATTGTATCTTGAGTAAATTAAATTCTTTTAGAAGTTTACCCATTGACATTTATTTACAGTTACCAAGAAATACAATATTTAATTAACATTTCTTCAAAATGAAAGACCACAACAATAAAAAATAAAATAATATAAAATATGCAAATCCGAAGAAGGGTTAAACCTCTTTTTTCATTCCACACCCAAGAACTTAATAAGATTAAAATATATCAAGTACTCTCTCCGTCTCATAGAAAGGTTCTCACTTTCTTTTTCGGGGTGTTCCATATAAAGGTTCTTGTTTCCATTTTATGAAACAAATAACAATCTTAAATGAAAATTTAATCATTAAATATTAAAAATAATACATTTATAACATCATAATTATCAACACTGGCCCCGTTATATTATATATATACCTATTCAAATTAATTAGTTAGTTCTCAAAATATACTCAAACTACCTTATTTAATTATTGTCAAAATAATCGTGTCATTTTAAAATATAGGAACCTTCCCAGGGAATGAAGGTAGTACACGTTTAAGTATTGCTAGTTCTTTTGAGCAATTTCCTCAAGTGGATTTTTTATGTGCATAAAAATATTACGAATGTGGAATATACTTTAGAAAAATTAAACATCTCTAGAAGCTTATTATTAAGTGTCTTCATGCCTTGCTCATTTAATCTTTCTTTGTGAAGCACTTTTATGGCTTGTCACCCAATTTTTGAAGGATTCAATCTCTAGTTTTCTTAAATTATTTTATTCTCTAATTAAAATGAATATGTTTTTAGTTTTGCAGTGGATTCCAAGTGATGGATAGTGTACCCGGGGGTAGCTTATTCGAGGGGTTATTGCGGAGAATAACTAGAGAGAAGTCAGAGAAAATAAGTAAGAGAGAGTGTATATTCGATATGTGAACTTGTTGTTTTTACAATGAGGAAATGAGCTGCTATTTATAGCAGCCATAAATGCTAGATAGGGACACGTGTCAACATTCTGGTGGCCGAGGGGTCACCTCAATCGGGGTGTCACCGGCACTCGCATGTGCACCGCATTAAATGCGGTAGGTGGATGTGACGTCGCATTAAATGTGGTGGTTGACTGTCTCTAAAAGGAATCTTCGCCGATAGTTCTGTGGCCGAAGGCATTGTGTGGCCGAAGGCATCATGTGGCCGAAGGCATTGCGTGTCCGAAGGCATCATATGGCCGAAGGCATTGTGTGGCCGAAGGCATCATGTGGCCGAAGGCATTGCGTGTCCGAAGGCATCATGTGGCCGAAGGCATTGCGTGTCCGAAGGCATCATGTGGCCGAAGGAATTGCGTGTCCGAAGGCATCATATGGCCGAAGGCATTGTGTGGCCGAAGGCATTGTATGGCCGAAGGCATTGTGTGGCTGAAGGCTCTTCACCTGTGATGTCTCTGGGCGGGTACTAGGCCGAATGCTCTTCTAACCGGGGGCTCCATTATGCCGAAGGCTGTATGTGCCGAAAGTTTGGTTTTAAGCCTTGTTCTCCTGTGATGTCTCTGAGCTCGATTCCGTCACTGGTAGCCTTTGGCCATGGGACCGAAGCCCCCCCCCCCCCCCCCTTGCGTATTGTGGGATGCTTAGAGCTCCATTTTGCTGGGCTTGGCCCGTTTAGGCCTGTTGGACCTGATTGCAGCAGTGAAAGTATGTGGACCGGGGTGTCCCAGACCATATACTCCATCACCAAGAGTTAAGTAGGACTTAAACTACTAAATTGTATTAGAAACAAGTTAACGGAGCAATAATGTGCAAGTTAAAAGAGTAATGGTCCAAGTATATACATATAATCAAAGTTGCATCAATATTTTAAGGTACTCATTATACCCTTACTTTATCAAGTACTTACACATACATCAACAAAGTTGCATCAATATTTTTAAGGTACTCATTATATCCTTACCTCTATTCATGTTTATAAGATTGTATGTAAGACAATGTCAGTGCATGTTGTATCGTGTTCACCGTACTATAAAACTAAACATAATCATAATGATAGTAAAATATAATGATGTAGAGCATCTCACTGAGCAAATTGAAGTATAGGTGAGATTCTGAAAAGGAATGTCGGGAGCTATACAGAATTGGCGTCCAATGTCAGAATGAGCCTCATAATAATTGGGCTTCAAATTCTCTTTTTAATTCCTAGAATTTATTTTTATTGAGATAGGGCTTCAGGCCACACTTGAGATGTATGTGGTATTTAAGCCTGCTAATTACTTTATTATGCGACATTACATATTCCTTAATAATACCGAGAGTCGTTCTTTGATTCCAGTGGATTTCAAAAACCTTTTCGAGTTTCGTTGTTGGCGAACTCGAGTAACGACTGCCCTTAATCTTGTGCTTCCATAGGTGCGTCGAGAAGTTGCTCCAATTTTGTCTAATACAAGCTAAGGATCTACTTTTGTAACATTTTCATTACTTTTACATGATTGTTATCACTAAAGATCATGTTGTTTCTTGTGAGTCATACTATTCTCCATTTCCTTCTCTCTTCTTCTTTTTCACTCTATCTCTCTTCTTAAAAATAATAATTAAACATAATTTTTCTTTTCCCCTACTCAACTATTTCCCCACCTCCCTCTATTTCTCTCTTACTAGAGAGTTCCAGTCAATGGAGAGGAGCAAAATTCGTTTTTTGTTCCTCCAAAATCTTGAACCTCCAATCCCAATGGCATCACGCCCCGACCCGACATGGAAATTACTGTAATCTTCGTACGGTTGCCACAAGTTTTGATCTTTGTATACCGTCGAGTTAACGAATGGTTATTATTTTAGACTATACAACAAACTCCTCCAAAAAATCAGCGGGAAAGTGAGCAGACACGCGCCTAACTGCTCTTCCCCCCTCCACCGCTGCTCCAATGATGCACATGATCATCGACCTCCCCTGACGGTGACGAAATGGATACCAACAATAGCGGCACTCCGGCTGCTTCCTCCGTAGTAACGGTAGACGACGGCGTTTCATCTCTCAATCGACCTCCCAGCCACCACATCCTAGAGATTACCCTCGTCTCCGCCCACGACTTGGCCCCCGTCTCCAAATCCCTCCACGCCTACGCCCTCATCTGGATCCACCCCAACCGGAAGCGAACCACCAATATCGACCAGCACGGCCACACTAGCCCCACCTGGAACAGCAATTTCTCCTTCAAGGTTGACCGCGAATTCCTCGCCTCCGATGACTCCGCCGTCTCCGTCGAGATCTACGCCGTTTCGTGGTTCCGAGACGTCCTCGTTGGGACTGTGTCGGTGAAAATCAGCAATCTCTTCTCTCCGGCGCCGGAATGGGGCAAGAGATCCGTGGCCCTCCAGATCCGCCGCCCCTCGGGGGCTCCTCAGGGAATGCTCAACATGGAGGTTTCATTACTGGACAGCGAATCATCTGGAGGCACGTTGCTAGCTGACATCATGTCGACGTCATCGGGATTCAGGAAATCGCTAGAACTTGATAGAAGGAATGTGCTAGAATCCGAGAACGGAGAAGATGCAGAGAAGCAACGTATCGGCGAAAAAGTTCAACAATGGCGTCGATCGATGAGCCTAGACATGTCTGGTATGAATTGCGAAGATGCCGAAGAATTTACTGGAAATCCGGGCTCCGTCTGCAACGGATCGACTGTGAACTGCGGCTCGGAAGTTTGCTCCGACGTCGGGCCTTCGGCCTCCATCGTGGCAGCGGAGATAGCCAGGAATCGGCAGCGATCTTCGATGCTGACGTCGGAAGACTCAGCTCAGAAAGGATTAACGCCGAAGATGGAGAGGTGGAGAAGGGACGCGGCGACAAGGGAAAACGATGAGATACAGACGATGGTTCCAAAGAGAGGGCACTGGCGGCGGAATTCAGATAGCAGCGTGTATTCATGTTTCGTGTATGGATTTCAGTTCACAATTGTTTGTGGTACAAAGAAGAAGAAATCTATTAGTGACGAACTCAGTTCTGATTAATCTAGGATTAGAGTTAAATGTGTTAGAAACTAACTTGCTCCGGTCTAAACTCTGTATATGTAAACGCAAATTATACCGTGGGATGGGCTCACCGTGCGTACAGTGTGCCGATCCCAAAACGTCGTCACTTTAGCATGAAACGAACATCGATCCAAGCATCAGAGCAAAATAAAAACAGAGCATCAGTACATGGATCTTCAGTCTAGGATGAAACGAACATCGATTCACAAATCATAGAGCAACATGGGACTGGAACATCGATTAACATCTATGGAACTACCGACATGGTTTGTTGATGAATTAGATGATGATGAAGATGGTATGAATAACCTCACACAAACCCTTTGCTTTGAAAGCAGGAAGATTTTTGCAGAAGCCTCTTAAAATGAATTAATTAATTCACAAATGTTTAATTATACTCCATATTTTCTATTTAATTAACAAATGTTTATTTATTAATTAGTCTGCTATTTGTTTGCTTTGTTGATATTATAGAGTTACATTTCATATACACTGGAATTACATTTCATTTTGGCTAAAGTTACATTTTGTAACACGCGAGTTATACAACAAAACAATGCGAGTTACACAACAAAATAAACCTATGTTATTCAATCAAAAATAATTTTCTTGTTAAAAATCATTTTTAATGCACCTAATATTAAAAAACAAAACATATGACCCTATTTATGTAAAATAATTGGATAATTAGACTCCTTTTCATTAAACATGAGTATATTTTTGGGCACAAGTTACATTAGTTGTTAACTGAAGTAACATTTGTAACAACACGAGTGTTGTTACAAATTACATCATGCATGCTACTGGGATGAAAATAAAATAAAAATTACAGTACACATGTGTACTGTTCATTCGATTTTTTTTAAATAACTATGCGAAACTACGCCGTTTTGAGTGTGGGAGCACGGTGCTCACCATGGGGTGATACCATGGTATACGAACTCATATGCAGAGTATATTTATATAAACAGGATAAATAGTTAAGATATACGCAGTATTTAAAAAAAGAATTTCATCCTCGTGTTTATTACTCAATACTCCTGTTCTTTTGTTTGCTACTTTTGTTTTTTGTGAAACATATTTTTATTTGATACTTTATTTATGTGGTAAGTTTCTTCTTTAAAAATGTTATGTGCTAATTACTCATATTTTTTCTAATTTTTCATTTTCTTTTTAATATTTTCCACCTTCTTTTCTAATTTATGTTCTATGTTGTTCACTACACCTATTATTTTATCTTTAAACTTTGTGAAAAAAGGTAGTGTGACAAACAAGATAATAGAGAGAGTATATTTGTATGACTTTTTGAATTTAAATGAAAACAAACATTTCTACACATGATGTTTACTTAAATAGTATAATATTGTCATTATCCAATTTAATTTTTATAATATAAAAATTAAAATAAAATTAACCGCTTTTATTAAGACTCCAAAATCTAATGTCATCTTAGTCAAAACAATATCATCCTAAAAATCATTCATTCATTCACGATCACAAGGATCAACATCTAAATAACGTTATTATAGATTATATATATTGTCATCATGAATGTATAATACAGAGTACCATTCAGAGTGCGTTTGGTGACCCCTTATATAATTTGAGTGGTGTCAAAGTAATATTTAATCGAAATTGACTTTATATTGTAAGGAAGATAGAAAGAAATAGGTGAGGATGTTAGATGAGCAAAGATGGGAGGAAGACGGGGATAGAAAAGAATAAATGTAAGGAAGATAGAAAGAAATAGGAACAATAGGAACAATAGTTGAATTTATAATTTTATGTCAATGTTTTATTCAGATTTAGATAATTTCTATGAAAAAAATACACATTTTTTAAATGAGGACTTTAGTTAACGAGAAAGTCTTTTTATACACGCCAGAAGCTCGCTACTCCAGGAGGCTTACACGTAATTTTGATATAGTTGTATTCGGTTAGATAGTTGGTTAACGGTATGGTTAACTGACTAAGACCGTTAGTTGAACTGTTGATCAGAGCTCCCGATCCTTAATTCGCAATTCAGGCGCACAACAGTAACCACTAATGCAAGCCAGTGTTATGTTCTGGCCTGTGAAGAACAGATAATCTCGAAGATGGTGCAAACTAGGGCTTCGTCTACTGATATGGAGGAGGCTTTAAAGTTAATACAAGTAGACTTTGATCAGAAAATGGAGAGTCAGAGCAAAATGATGATGGATATGCTATCTAAAGTCATGAAGAAAGTGGTAGATTTGCAAAGAGAGAATGGCAAACTGGGAGAAAACGAAGAAGATGAACACAACTCCAAACGTCTCCAGTGAGGAGGAAGAATCTTCATCAGAAGAAGAAATTGGTGATGTTTCTGGAAAATCTTCTTCATCTGCCAAACCGTTGTACATGTTTATGCCTAAAGTTAAATTTCCTTCTTGTGATGGTCAAAACATAAAAATTTGGATTCAAGTGTGAGAAGTATTTTAAACTTTTTGCTATTTCTGATTATAAGCAGAGAGTTAATTTGGCTTCACTATATCTTGAGGGTAGAGTAGCTAATTGGTTTGGAAATTACATTTTATTTAAGAAGAAGTTAGAATGGAAAATGTTTGCTACTGATATTGTTGCCAGGTTTAATGGTAATATGGAGAATAAGGTTGTTGAAAGGTTCAATAATATGAAACAGAATGGGCCATTAGAAGGGTTTGTATATTAATTTTAAAATCTTAAAGCACTTATGGTACAAAGGAATCCAAAGCTACCTGACGATTACTTCCTAGAGGACTTTAGTTAACGAGAAAGTCTTTTTATACACGCCAGAAGCTCGCTACTCCAGGAGGCTTACACGTAATTTTGATATAGTTGTATTCGGTTAGATAGTTGGTTAACAGTATGGTTAACTGACTAAGACCGTTAGTTGAACTGTTGATCAGAGCTCCCGATCCTTAATTCGCAATTCAGGCGCACAACAGTAACCACTAATGCAAGCCAGTGTTATGTTCTGGCCTGTGAAGAACAGATAATCTCGAAGATGGTGCAAACTAGGGCTTCGTCTACTGATATGGAGGAGGCTTTAAAGTTAATACAAGTAGACTTTGATCAGAAAATGGAGAGTCAGAGCAAAATGATGATGGATATGCTATCTAAAGTCATGAAGAAAGTGGTAGATTTGCAAAGAGAGAATGGCAAACTGGGAGAAAACGAAGAAGATGAACACAACTCCAAACGTCTCCAGTGAGGAGGAAGAATCTTCATCAGAAGAAGAAATTGGTGATGTTTCTGGAAAATCTTCTTCATCTGCCAAACCGTTGTACATGTTTATGCCTGTTGGGATAATGGGCCAGGTCCAATACTATCGACCCAATATGCCTGGGCTCGGGCGCGAACCAGGCCCAGCCTACGGTCCGACTAGATAATATGGTCCTTGGATTGATTAGTTTAACTCTGGGCCCGACCAGCCCATTGGCCGGGGATCAGGCTTCTTGTTTTAGTTGTTTGATTGGGCCAAGCCCATTAGTATTCAAGAAACCTCTTGTAAGCGCCTATAAATAGGCCGCCCCTCTTTTTGTATTGGAGAGGTCACTTTTACTGTACTGAATTGCTGCCGAATTTTCTACTCAACACATTTTCTACCAACATTGGTGCTTTCATTGAGAGCCGAGTTGTTCTCTCAGTTTTCGGTAGAATCTTTGAGGAGGAAAATGGCAGGATCATCAAGGCAAGAGCGAGTTTCCGTTCACACCGAGCATTCAGAACAACCCAATGGCCATCGTGTGAGAAGCCAGGTGGTGAGACCGATAGGAGATCTCCGGAGCCATTTGTCGGGCTCAGGGGACCTGAGGGGCTCGCTAAGCCGTAGTCATGACAGACAATCCCTTCGTGATCGGATTGGAGGTCGCCGTCGTCGGGCTCCGCGCACGAACCGACTTGACGCTGGAGTGCGGGCGCTACAGGAGGCCACGCGTGCCATTGGGGCTTTGGCTCAGAATTTCCTGGGGATGATGCCGCAGAGAGCTAATCATGAAACTCCGAGGCACGCCGCCCCTGAAGACATCGAGACTTCCTCTGGGAGATATGAAGGGCGACATACTAGTTTGGACGAATCACGAAGGGAATCCTTGCCCCGGAGGGAGGATATGTCCCGACGGGTCGAGCAGCCTCGACGACCCGAAAGAGGAGGGCCCCACCAAGACTCGTCACTGGAGGGCGGGGATGACTTCTCTCATCACCCCGTCGTCTGAGCGGTCGAACCGGTTCCATAGAAGGCCCCCGTGGTGGCCGTCGGCCTCACGCGCGTGAAAGAGTCGCAGAATCCTATGTGCGGGTCCAGCCCCGTGCTGGACGCGTGCCAGAGGAACCGGCGCCGGAAGCTGTGGAGGATCTCAGACTAAGGTTGGACGAGCTAAGGAGGAGGGTTGTTGGGGGAGAGTCATACGTGGCCGACCTCCATATCCCGGAGCCCTTCACTCGTGCCATAATGGAGGCTCCGTTGCCAAGGGGCTACAAACCTTGCAATGTGGATACTTACAAGGGCACTTCAGACCCGCAACACCACATATCACGTTACCTGTCATATATGGTCATGATGGGGTACGAAGATGCCATACGATGCAGAGGATTCGCGGCTACTCTAGATGGCCCGGCTCGTGAATGGTATGACACACTGCCCGATGGGAGCATCGGGAACTTCAGGGAGTTGGCTAGGCACTTCCTCTTGAGGTTCGCCGGCTCACGAGATGTGAAGAAGAATTTCAGCCACCTGTTTAGCCTGAAGCAAGGAAAGAAAGAGGCCCTGTCCACTTTCCTGGCAAGATGGAGGGTCGAGTCGGTCAAGGTTCAGGGCCTTGACGACAGGACCGGAGTGGCAATGCTGACAAATTCTATCCGATCAGGAGAACTTTACAAGGATTTTGTTAGGAATCCACCCGCTTTATACGAGGAAGCCCTGAGGCGGGCTGACCGTCAGGCTGAGGCAGAGGACGCTGAACAGAGGAAAAGAGATGAAGAGGATGGAAAGAAAGAAGATACGAAGGACAAGGGAAGACGTGGTGACCCAGATGATGAAGATGCCGATAGGAAATCTGGCGGAAAGGGCGGCCGGTTCAAAGGTAAGAAAAATAAGAACAAGGGAAGGACGGACGTCCCGAACGGTCCGCTCCTACCTACCAAACTTCTGACACCTTTGGCTCAACCGGTCGGGACGGTCCTCGACTATGCCGAGGAGCAGGGTTTGGTTTCCTTCCCAGAGGAATGTGACGTGGTCACTGCCAAACGCAACACCGACCAGTACTGCAGGTTTCACCGAAATTTCGGGCATGATACGGACGAATGCATCGTTCTCCGCAGACAAATTGAGGCACTTATCAAACAAGGATATTTGGGCCAATTTGTAGGAAAACCGGGAAATGCCCAGAAAGGGAGGAACCTGACATGGAGGCGTTCCGATCAAGCCACCACGTCCAAGGAGAAACAGCCCCTTGACCAACCTCCAAAGAAGCGCGAGCTCGGGGCTCTGTC